CTTTTGCTACTTTTAGTTATACTTTAGCTACTTTTAGGTTTTAGCTACCATTTTTCTGCTTTTTTTGCAGTTTTAAGTAGCCTTTTTTTAGTATTAGCTTTTAGAAAACGTTTTACTGCTTTCAGTTTTTAGCTAGCCTTTTACTACTTTTAACTTTTAGGTATCATTTTGCTGTTTTTAGCTAGCTTTATCTTTTAGCTAACTTTTGCTACTTTTGACTTTTAGCTACTTTTTTACTCCTTTTACTTTTTTGCATAGCATTTAGCCACTTTTAGTTTCCAGCTATTGTTTTACTACATTTAGCTAGTGGTCTTCTACTTTTAGCTTTTATTGGCTTTGCTAAGTTAGCTTTGACAAGTCAACTTCAGCTTCTTCGGCTGATTTCAGCAGCGTTGTCGCTTATCAACGTCAAGCTGTGTTTTGACAGAAATTGTAGTTTTCATGAACGCAGGAGAATAAAACCAGTTGTTTTGTAAAAAGTTCCTTGTTCTTCTCTGCTCCTCGTTCTGCAGGCGGAGAACATCATGTTCCTGGAGCTGGACGTGACTCCTCCCAGCACCTCCTCGGTGGACCGCTCGGCGGAGGCAGAACCGAACCAGAGTCCCCCTCTGGACCAGTCCCCCACTAAAGATGAAGGAGTCTGCAGGTCTCGCTCCTGGTGAGGCTGAAGCTCGTCTTTAGTCGCACTTTTTGTTCATACGCTGAAAGTTTTTCATCTTTCATCCGCACAACTCCCCCCCCCCCCCAATTGTGTGGTGTGGTACAGTAGTCCCTCGTTTATCGTGGGGGATCCGTACCCTGAAGCCCCGCGATAAGTGAAAAACCACCAAGTAGGAATAGTAATAAGTCTCTCGCTACTTCGTGGTTTGTTATTCGTGGTCTCGCTCAATCGCAGTTTTTCAAAGTAAGATTGGACATGACACACAAATGGCTGATTGACGGATGAGCCGCACGATCGGCATGGAATTTTTATCTAAAGTAATTTATTTTAATGTTTCTAAACGCTCTAAAAGAGCACAGGATGTCATGATTTCAGCTCCCTGCCCCCGCTGCTCTCAGCCTCCTGCAAGGGCTCTTGGCCACGCCCACTTCTCCGCTGCAGAGCGGACATCATGACATGCTGCGTGAAGAAGCTTCTCCTGCAGCTCTGGGCTGCACAAAGATGCAGCAGGTGCTAAATAATTTACGATCATTTATTTTAAATAAAAATTCTATGCCGATCGTGCACACGCTCATCCGTCAATCAGCCAATTATGTCATGTCCGATCTTATTTTGAAAAACCGCGATAGAGCGAGTCAGCGATAAACAAAACTTTAAGTATTGAGGGACTACGGTAATATATTTTACCGTACATACAATGATGTGAAAATAAAGGATTTATGATAAACCAGCTAGCATTCCTTGAAGGGACGCATATTGGCTTCATTTTATTTTTGTTGTCCAGTGCTTCATATGATATTTTGCTAACAGACAGACAAACATACACAATATAATACATTATTTTCAATACTATAATATAAAGAAATAATAAAACTTTTATATATTTATATACAGTACAGCATATTGAAAATGTGTTCATTCGTCATTGTGTGAAACTTTGTTCTGATAAGAGAAAATTGCCTGCATGAGATTTAATCTTTCAACAGTTTAGAGTCAATATGTCTCTAAATGGGATTATTCTGGATTAACCTTTGTCAGATATCCCATTCTGATCATTTGTTGTCTTTTTACCATGTAATCTGCTGGATAATCTTATTAATCTGCGTCTAATTTTTATGTAAAAACACAGATTTGTTGATTTTTGTTTACTTTCTTGGTCTTCTTGCAGGTGTCAGACCCAGAAATCTCTCACTTCCTCTTCTTCTACCAACTCCCTGACAGCGTGTCACGCTGCCACGCCCACAGTAGCCATGTAAAACTTTACTACAGGCAGATTTTTTTTTTATTTCTTTACGTCTATGGCCAGTTTGAGACCATTAAACGTTGGGAAACAAGCACCACCTCCTCTGATGGAGACGATCGTCCGACTGGAAGCTGAACAACTCGTCTGACCTCAGAAACTCTGGAAAACATTTCCTCCTGGATTTTATTTCATTTTATTTGGACCTCCATCTTCTTTTACTCTCCTGCATGTTTGAATCCAAACACGTTGTTTTAAGATGAAACTGTTGGATGTCTGTGTAAATAGTCGATGTTCTCGGTGCAAAAGCAGAACTTTTAAAAACGAAAGCGGTTCTGGTCCGGGATGGATTTTGGACTTTAGTCAAAGAAACAAATGGCTCTTGATGTTTGTTGTTGTGGTCAGATGACTTTAAAACCTGAACGATGACCTTTGTCAAACCCGTTCGTCCCTCTGTCTCTCCAGTGTCAGATTTACCTGAAATGTCTTCACATCATTTAAATAAAATAAAAAGTGAAGCGTGTCGTGCTCCAAAAGTCTTTTTCTGTCATTTTATTTATTCAGCATCGACATGAAGGGGCACATAGTTTCAGTCATCTTTAGGTTCTGCTTGGGTCAGAAAACGAGGACATTTGATGTCATTATGGACGTATTAAACATGGAGGGACTAGCATTCCTTTTAGAAATGCATATCACCCGCCATCTTCCAAGCCATGATTTAGACGAGGGGAAATAGATACCGGTAGTTTTTGTGGTTTTGGTCAAACTTTGTAAACAATGTTACATGTGCTCCATCACACTTTCACATATGAGAAATAGGTTGAACAATAAAAAACACTGCAAGTTTTGAAAACTTGCGAAATCCCATCGGCTGGTCCAGTCCTCTTTGGACCGAGGGATTCAGACGCCTGAGGAGCTGGAGTCAAAACTTCATTTTAACAACAAGCGACGCGCTGACGTCCCCTGTCGCTGAGGGATTTGAGTAGTGAATGTTGGTAGTTTTCAAGATGAGTGTTTTTCTGGAATGGAATTAAATGGAATGAAAGCAAACCTTAATGTTTTTAGTGCAAGACGTTCAAGGGGGTAGAAGTTACTTAGTGGAGAACAGAAGTAGGTTGATTTATTTTCTTGTCTGAGGTGGTGCAGAACGACAGATCCTGGCAAGCGATGGGAGCAATTATATCCACCACCAGGTGCAATGGCAGAGCCAGGGGGTGGCCAATGGTGGCTTTGGCCACCATAGATTAATCTTCGGCCACCTCACCAACCACCCTGATAATTTGAGGAAAATACTTTTAAGCAATGTAAAAAACTAGAAAGCATAGTTTCCTCAAATGATAGGGGTGTCCAT